AGCGTGTCGCCCTCAACAAGGGCAGGGGGTCCCTGGGGTGCGTGGTGTGTCCCCCAACAAGGACAGAGGTGCCAGGGGAAGCACAGGATACCCACTTTCCTGGGTGAGTGGTCTCTGGGGTGCACAGTGTGTCCCTCCCAACAAGCACAGGAGGTCCCTGGGGTGCTTGGGGCATCCACTCCCCTGTGTGTGCCCTCCCTGGGAGCACTGGGTGCCACTGCCACTGGGACAGACCCCCCCGTGGGGCAGTCAGGCTCTGTCCCAGTGCCCCCCAGGGTGTACCAACTGTGCTAACCCCCCGTGTCACACTGCAGGTGGTGCTGTCACGACAGTATGGCTCCGAGGGACGATTCACCTTCACCTCCCACACGCCGGGCGAGCACCAGATCTGCCTCCACTCCAACTCCACACGCATGGCCCTGTTTGCTGGGGGCAAGCTGGTAACTGGGGGGTCCCCACTCCCAGGGGAGGGGTGTGTGGCATTGTCAGGGTCCCTCTCACCCCCCTTGTCCCCCCTTTTTCCCCAGCGGGTGCACCTGGACATCCAGGTGGGTGAACACACCAACAACTACCCCGAGATCGCTGCCAAGGACAAGCTGACAGAGCTGCAGCTCCGAGCACGACAGCTGCTGGACCAGGTGGAGCAGATCCAGAAGGAGCAGAACTACCAGAGGGTGAGGAGGGGAGTTCAGAGGGGTCGATTTGGGGGGGATCCCCCCGTTTCCCCCCTGCCTGACCCCCTGTCTGTGGCAGTACCGGGAGGAGAGGTTCCGCATGACGAGCGAGAGCACCAACCAGCGCGTGCTGTGGTGGTCCATTGCCCAGACCATCATCCTCATCCTCACTGGCATCTGGCAGATGAGGCACCTCAAGAGCTTCTTCGAGGCCAAGAAACTGGTGTAGCCCCCCCAAACTTCCTCCAAACCTTTGGGGAGGCTCCTCCAAACCCACACACCTACTCCAAGGTGGGCTGCGACCCACCCTGGGGGACTCCCACAGTCCTGGGGG